GCAGCACAGCGGCTTCATGGTTGGCACTGTGTCCTAATGACTCTGATGTTGTGGGTTTAACACTCATTCCTGTGATGGATGGATGGATGGATGGATGGATGCAGTCAAATTCAAAGTTGTTAAAATAAATTCCAGTGTCACCACATTAATAACATTCACACATTTAAATAATAAAAATGAAACATAAAATCAGTCATTTAAATATAGAACCAGTGACATGATTCAAGTCTATGAAAGCATTCCTAATTTACATGACAGGGACCATGAAGCGTTCTCTAGCTTAGCAAATGCACTTCCAGTAATGGACACTGCTTGAGGGAGGGATATATGTAAATGGCCAGAGTATCACATAACTTTTTTTGCAGTACTCAGTTCCACGGTTCTACAAAAAGATGGAACTTCCACAGACACATGCTGTGCTGTTTTAAGACAGATTTCCCAAGATTGGCAACAAATCAGACTGGGTGTGATGACTGCAGCATTCTCATCAAGCTGTGCTGACTCCCAGAAGAGCTGAAGGAGTGGAGATGAATGGTGCTTGGCTTCCTGTCAATCAGAGAAGAGTTCAGGACTTTGGACAGCGACTTTACTAACAATGTTTCCACACATTAAAGGCCTGTTTAAGAGTCAGAATCAAAATCAGAATCAGAAACTTTATTGCCACACAACCAGCGCCAGTGCAAATTTGTGTTAGCACATCTTGCTACTGTTGCAAACGCCAGGCAATTAACAATTAGGGCATAATGCAGAAAGAAAATAAGTACATGACAATATACACAACAAAGGAATTAATGTAAGGTATGTTATAAACACAGTAGGGCACAAATTCAAGTAGTGCCTTGGAGAAAGTTGATTCAGGCACAATACAGAAAACGTTCAGTTATACATATATATTATATAAGACAAATCATGTGCAATCTGCAATTATAATGAGTAAAGTATCCTTACTCCCAACTATTCCTCATCAAATAGGCAGTACAGGGATTTTAGGTGGAGAATTAAGAGAATATACACTAAAATATACTTCCTGTTTGCATATATGCTTTATTTTGATGCTTGGTTTTATGATTTTTATTACATTCCCCATACATGCTATGCAAAGCTTTAAAAGGCTTTTGTCAGCGAATGGCTGAACTGATCGCTCTCATCCAGAGCAGCCTGAAGGGGCGGAAGCAGAGGACCACCCAGAAGTGTCTCTACTGGCAACAAAACAGGTCACATACAGAGTCTAACGACAGGCTCCCTCCATCATCTATCTATCCCGAGACTCACTGGACTTCTCTTCAGGCAGTAGGAGCACCTCCCCATCAGTGACACAACACAAAGCTAACAGGAGTAACAGGGACACTGCGTGTAGATTTACTCACGAACGATCAGCGACGTAGGAGAAAGTTTGACATTGATGGACCTTCGTAATTTAAATACAAAGGTCTGTTTATGAATACAGAATTCCATGATTGACTTGGACTGCATGGACTGTAAAATCGCAGTGGAAAAGTGCCAAGCTTTGGGACAGTATATTAAAAATCTTTGAGCCAACAATGAGAGCCCAGTTGAGCTGATTAGTTCCCATGAAGTGAGGGCTTGTTCATCATTCTCTCTCGGCGCATCAAAGACTCTACCCTGTGTTTGTTTATTTATATATCAGCCTGAGTGGGTTTCTGCTGCCGGGCCCTTGAGTCTAGCCCTGGAAATGTCTCCCTGGCTCAGGCTCCAAGCTCACTAGGAGCTCCTGCCACAGCTGCCAGCTGCCCGCTCACATGCCCACCCGCCTGCTTCCTGTCACCTCCAGACTGACACTGCTTCTTAATTCCAGCAGTGCCGCAGCTCAGGTGGTCTGGCCCCGCAGTGGAAGCACGTGTCCCCACAAGGCTGCTCGTAACTTTGCTGCTCCTCCTTCAACTCCTTACTTGTGTGCATTTGCATTGTTAAAGAGCGCTGCTTCCCTAACAATATAAATGGGAGAAAAAAAACACACACACAGGTTTATTTTTCTGTGATACCTTTGACTGTTAAAATATAGTAATAAGAATGATGGTAGCTAACCCCACAGGGGAGAATTGTCTATTACCCCATCTTGCTTTCCAGGAGATGCACATATAGGTGAGAGCAGGCTTGGGAGTCACTTTGTGGTGCTTTGGAATCTCAGGGTTAAGGGCTTTGATCAAGGGCCCACAGACATGTGACTGTTCTGCTGAGGCTCAGCTTGAACTGGAGACCTTCTGATTATGCACAGAGCCTGATGAGCCACACACTGTCCCTGAAATATAATGGTGTCTACAGTCTGACACTTGAATTGCATTAGGTTCAGAGATGTTTGATATCACTGATATGATATAGGTGATTTATTATTTGTCTTTGTCTTTTATGAAAATGACACTTCTGAGCCTCTTCCATAACTGCTTGTCTAACTCAGGTTCACAGCACCGATCCAAGCATGTTTAGGACAGGTTGGGTAAATACCCTTGACAGGTTGCCAGTCCATCTCAGAGCACAAACTTACACATAATAGGCAATTTAGAGATGCCGATCTACATAACTGTATGTTTTTGGAATAATAGAGGAAATGTGATTAACCCGAGGAACCCTGTGAGATCATGCAAACGCCATACATAGAGAGAGAAAGAATTTGAAACTGATTCTGAGAATGAAAAATTCCTACAGTGCTAAACACTAAGCCTCTCTGCCATCTGATAAAAAAGACGCAGTGAAAACATAATTCTACAAACATAAACTGTGTTTGCAAGACAAAAGGGTGTTGGCTGCCTCATTAATCTGACAGCACATCGCCAGGCTTGTTTACACAATGTCCTGCCGAAGAAGACATTGTCTCACTGGCTGGGTTCCCCAGACCCACCCAAAGACAGATGTACACGCGCACAGATGCAGCTCTAATTTATGATTTTACTGCTACCGTGAGACACTTCGGCCTGGACGAGGTCCAAATGGGAGGCCGACGATCGTGTCCCACCACGTGGCAGACGTCAATGTTGCAGATGGCGATAAGACAGATTACTAAGTTATGCAGTTGATAAGCACTGTGAAGAAAGATTCAGCGGGATCTGATAAGGATTAGCTTCATGTTTCTCGTGAAGTGGATTAGCAAAGGTTTGGCAACATTTATCCCCTCAGTGTCCTAATTTCTCTTACCTCTTACCTATAATTCAGTCCTGCCTATGCATGGAACCAAGATCGTCCCGTTAGTTTTAGAGATGAAAGATTTGTTAATGTTTTATATTATTCTATCATTTATTACACCAGATTTGACTCAGACTCCTATTGTCCATCTTTGCTTTTTCTTGTTCTATACAGGTAATTATTCCTTGTTTACTTAATGTTTCCATTAGCAAGCAGGTAAAGAGTCTCAGTAAGACAATCTTTATAAGACAATCCATCCATCTTCCATAACCACCTATACAGTGTAGGTTTGAGGTGCCTTGATATTCCAGATAGCAAGTAGCATGAAACAGTCTGGAAGGGGTCACACACTGTGGGCAATTTAGGGGCACCAATTCACCAGAGTTATTCAAGGAAAAACACAACCATGGGACAGATGTGTAAAACACACATGGTTATATGACATCGTTAGTCACTCAGAGTAAGAAAAAGCTGAAAACTCAGGATGTTATTAAACAATGCATATTGACAAAAATAATTACCAGCATTAACCAAAATTAAAATTGAACAAACAGTATAATGATAACGTCACAATTAGAGCTTTCTTCGAAAACAAACAAACAAATAAATAAACAAATATATTAGAATAACTTAATGCAAAAAATAAAAATTGCTAGTCATATGCAAAAAGTTTTACTGAGGTTGGACAACTGAAAAGCTTAGATTGTGTCACAACTTGTGGGAGAAAGGACTCAAAGGCGGTCAGCTAGTGAACAAAAAGGGTTTTATTTAACTGAACAGAGGCAAGAAAACACACGAGACTGTGAGGGGTCAAAACGAGAAGGCGAGTATGGGGAAGGACACTGGCAGACAGACAGAGCAACGTCAATGACCGGACTGGGGCTCTGCAGACAAACAGGTACTTAAAATACAGGGGTAACAAGCAACAGGCGCGGCTCATCAGGGAGCTAGAGAGGAGGGTCAGGCGGACATGACAGGCAGGACGTAACAGGTTGCTTTTTGGTATTTTGGTAAATACTTATAGTTTTATTTTTTTTCTTCAAGAGTCTATTTTAGCCTCATTTCATAATTCTTAAGCTTATGCATTCTATTAGCTTATTACAAGCATCTGATGGCCATTTTGATCTGATATGACTATTTATTATTATTATTATTATTATTATTATTATTATTATTATTATTATTATTATTATCAATGATAACAATAATAATAATAATAAGCACCTCCGATCACCCAGCTCCTGTCGAGTCCAGAAGTTGAGAAGAAATAGAGTAGATGTCCTGTAACTACAGAAAGCCTCGGGAGTTCCCTTGGATGACTGTGGAATTTCAAGTAAAAAATCGGGAAGCCTTCTTTTTTTAAAAGCTAGCGGCACAAAACGTCAGTGTGATAATGTCCAGTGAGATAGAGCCGGGTTACCCGCAGATCACATTTACATACCTATAATAGTAAGTCAGCATTGTCTTTGCGCTGACGTCGTTGATTGGTTTTGTTTTTTTTAGTGATGATAAACGTACGTGTAAATAAAGCAAACGTGACCAATTTCGTTATTATTAACAGGAAAAGCGGAACTATCTTATATTCAGATGTGTATTTGTGTGTGTGTGAGGTCATTGACTTTCAAATCTCAGTAATAAAAGGTTTCATTATATTAAAGAAGAGGGTAGAGAACATACGTCTCCATCGCGCGTCATCCTTCACACTATCTGTTGGCTTATTCTAGTGGTAAAACCCTAAAGGAGGATGGACGACTGTGTGTGTGTGCGTGTGTGTGTGTGTGTGTGTGTGTGTTTACGGAAGGGGTGTGGGGAGCGAGGGGGAGCGAGGCAGACAATACGATCGCACAAATGTATTCCGTCACTCGGGCAAGCCTTTATTAGGAGGGTTCGCTCTAATCTTATCTGCTATACCATCAGGAAAGCGGCCTTCACACAACACCAGGAACAGAGAAAAAGGGAGGAGAAATCTGTTATCTGCCTTTCCATCAAAGATCTTCTTTTGGTGTCCGTGTTGTATGACGACTTTAATTCATCATCACTTCTAACGAGAGAAACGGACGAATCTCAGCACTTTTGTTGCGATCGCAATCTAAATCGCTGTCTCTTTTGTTTTCCTAATAGGGGTCAGAAGAAAACTCGAGATGTTTTCTCGAGATTTTTATCCATGAACAATATTTATCCAAAAAGCTTTACTGAAGGACACGCATCTGTATTACGGCATATAAATATAATATGACGTTCGAGGCAACTCGAACAAACTTACAGCAAACACAAGGATAAACAAAACGTGTCGTTTTGCAAACTAAAGTTCTGCGCAAACAAATAAATTAACACATTGCAATTGCATAATTTTACCATGTAAGGTGGACAACTAGCAGAGCGGGAGAAGATGTTATTTTGTGGAAGAAACCTAAGAGAGCCGCAGTGTTTATTGTGAGAGCTGTCGTGTGGAGTAGCTTAACTCCTGAGAAGGACCTCAGGGTTTCAAATAGCCTACGGCTCAGGTAATCGACGTCTTAGTACACGGTGAGTGCTAGTAGTTACAAAAGATATCATGAAATCCGATGTCACTTTAGCAATTTTCTCATGTAAGGTTCACAAAAAAAATGTTAATATGTGTAGTTAAAAAATAAAAGAAACACTTTAAATGAATTTAAGTTTTTAACCTTTTTATCTTTTGCACAGACCTAAATATTGGCTAAAATCTTTAGAGCTTGCATGACCGCTGACTAAAAAAGAAGGTTAATCCATTTGAGTATTTTGAATGTACTTATTTTTCAGACTGCAATATAAGGTTGTGCAAGAAAAACAAAGTAATGTTACAGTAAGACATGAAGTGTGAATATTTGGCGAAAAACCTTAATTTTGCTGCGACTGCAAAGTTCGATGACAAAATAACTGCTGATGAAAATGTAATAAAAACTCAATTACAGAACAAAGTGAAGTTTTTTTGTAGGCTACTACGCGTAAGCAGAACACTGCGTCTCTGAAATGCTGTGTTTTCCTTGTTAGAATGGCGCGAAACTAACAAAAACAGTTAATATATTAAATAATAATAAATTATACAGATAACGTGAGAATTTTCCCCTTAAGTATAAATCGCCAGCTGAGTCCTGTGATTTGTAATATATTCAGGCCTATTCGCTTGTTGAGTGAGTTAATCGTTATTCATCATATTTCGGCAATGTTCTTGGTGGAAAAAAATATGCCCAAGGCTAAAGTTGCCTAACGATGGCCTTTATTGCTCTAAGGGAGAATGACTTTATTATACAGTGAATAAATATATTGATATGTAGAATCCGTAAATAGGCCTGCTTCTTAAGTAGCCAAGAGCTCCAAACACAATAAGTAGTATTTTTACACTAGGAAGGGGGTAATGAGACAGGTTGAGCCCTTTGTAATTCAACCCTGCACCATCATCATAAACTAGGCCTACTACGGCTTTTCGTTTATTTATATAGTGTAAGATGGTGACCAGTATCGGCCAGCTAACACTAAAAGTGCTATTACAGAAGCACGTGACATTAGTCAACACATTACAATAAAGACCAGTCTCTCTCACTCTCTCTGTCTCTTTCTCACCGAAACTGAATCAAAACTGTGGAATGTCATATTGAATTATCTTTAACTCCGGCAGAGCCTGTGAAGGTACTCTATGTAAACAAAGCAATGTAATATGCTGTTATGTCTGTTCTCATTTTAGACTTTGCAGCTTGAGGTCTAAAAAATGATGCTGAGTCCAGATCAACCGGATTCCGACCTGCCTTGGAGTCAGTCAGACGCCGAATCGGTGCTGAACGATATTAAAGTTGGCTGCGTCTCTGACGAACCGATAGAGGGAGAAGGAAAGAGCAGGTCCCTGGCCCCGCAAGCCCTTAGCCGGGAGGAGAAGCGAAGGAGGCGGCGCGCAACAGCCAAGTACCGCTCGGCCCACGCCACAAGAGAGCGCATCCGTGTGGAGGCTTTCAACGTGGCTTTTGCTGAGCTGAGGAAACTGCTGCCCACCTTGCCACCCGACAAGAAACTATCCAAGATTGAAATCCTCAGACTGGCAATTTGCTACATATCTTACCTAAATCATGTTTTAGATGTTTAGGCACCGTCTAGAAAGACGAAACGGACAGTCAACATCACTTACAACAAGGAAACATAGGAACGCCCATAATAAAAGAACAGTTTTTTTTTCATCGAACGCTTATGACAAATAACTTTTTGGGCTTCGACCAGAAGGAGTGCAAAGTGTGTCGTTTGGTTTTTCAAGGAGTTTACAACATCTTGAAAGAAGTCATTTCTTGAGCAACTCATTGGTACACAGCTGTAAAAAGAGCTCAGCTACAGGTTATGCGCCGTGCCGCAGCAATTACCTGTCCAGTTGAAAAAGCAAAAATAGGAATGCAATAATACCAATACTTGATACATAGAAAGGCACGGAAATATCGACATAGACTGCCATTACGTTGATTTCACGGGCAGGAACAGAAAAAAAATCATGCTCACTTTGTTTTCTCTAGATTGTCGTAGTTTTAGATGTTTAATAACTGCGACACGTAAAGCATACTTATCTGTAAGTCATTTGGACGACTGAAAAGAATAGGAAAAAATAACTAAAGTACAGCTAAAATCACATTAATCAGCGTCTCTAGCTATGAATAGTCTCGTGGTTGTCAAGTCAACTGAAGAAGATAAATGATTTATTTAAAAACTATGAAAGTGCCACTTCTTCTTGACTGTGCTCATTTAAGCCTATATAATATATATTTATCAATTAATACATCGAATACATTTATTTATTTATTTATTTATTTGTTTTTATTTATTTATTTATTTATTTGAGATATTTATTCATACACGCATTTTTCATATTCTGAAGGCCTTGACTTAATTTGACGTATATATGTTTACAATGTGTCTTTTTAAAATAGATAAATGACCGTTGTTCACGTATAAATGTATGTATATTCATGTATACTCATATTTTAGAGTGTGGTGTGGGGATTACGAAAGTGGCTCTGTCGCTCTTCATTTGCACTTCAGTGATACTTTTTATTTTATGTAGCCTACGTTGTAAATGCAACTGTCAAGAAATTTACTGCTGTTATTTGTTTGAAATGTGTGTGTATATATGTGTATGACAGAGATTAGCGCTTAACTCTGGGTAGAACCTTTTGTATGTCTTGTAATAATTCCGGTTGTAGATTCTTGAGTGTTAAAGGGATACTTTGCTTGGAAATGATAAATCTTTCTGTGGACGACAAATATTTTTAGAACGAACTTTATGACACCAGTTTTAATATCAGGAATTTAAATTCACGAAATTGGGGAAATGCAATAAAAACAAGAGCAGTCACGCCCTTCCAGAATAAGTTCAATGAAGTAAGCCTATCAAACTAAAACGGACTTAGTTAAGCAGTCTGCTGTCATGAAACGCCACAGTACAATTCCAGGGGGACATCCCTGTGCTGCGACCAAAAATGATTTTAAGGATATTTTGTTCGTATATGCTGTACCTAGAGATGTTTTATTTATATACTTTTCTCTTTTTGGAGCCTCTTAATAGACTCATTTTAGTGAGAAAAAAACGTATCCGCTATCCAAAGATTTCTTGTCTTTTCAGGGTTTTTATCGTGTACCTGTCGCTTTACAGCGTTATTTTGTAGTGTAGTCGCTACAATAAGATGGTTTCTAACGAATAGTTTTTCATATACTTATGTTGACTTGTTTAACAAATAAATATTAAAAACAACGACATTGTTGTTTGTTTTGTAAAACGTTAAGACATGCAATAAAAAAAAAACCCTCATTTATTTTAGCAATATCATGATCAAACGACGAAAGTGTTATATTTGGCGAATTTATAGGTTATTCTTACAATAGTGTGATAATAATAGGTTTTATTTTAAAAATATCTGTGCAAACAATCATCAAACAAGATTTAAAGGTTTGACTCAACCAGAAATAAATCATTATTTGGATATACAGGTTTCCATTAATATATTTAATGTAAAAATGACATGGTCACTGTTTCTGGAGGATGATTTGGAAAATATAATTGTACAGAAAACTACTTGTTTAAAATTGCATGAAGTTCTCTACCACAAACACGATTTGACCACAGCAGTAGTCTGATCTCTAAACAGACAAAACAATGTTCAAATTTAAACCACCGTAGGTAATCGAAGCTTTTTCTCGCCTTATAATTACCATGACGCTGAAATATTTGTTGGTATATGCGTCGATAGTAGGACCTAAATGCCGGCGCTCGGGATGGAAAGAGGGCCTTCAAACGGCCGGTCAGCCGGTCCGTGTGTGTGAGTGATTTTTCTATGCCTGTGTTCCCTCTCCTCTTCGCTTTCAGCTGAAAGCCGCCCTCCCCAGAGAGGGGGCAGGTGTTACTCCAGACAAGCCAAGACAACCAAATTACTGGCCGTCTGGCACCTCCCGTGGGAAAGACAGAGGGAGAAAGGGAAGATGGAAATTTATGAGCGAGCATGACATATTGGCCGACTGGAAATGGAAAAAAATATTTAGGATTTTTGAAAATAACAACACGACTACGAAACAAAAATGAATTCTATATTTTTAGCCGCGTGGCAGACAGTTTGTTGAGATAGACATAAACATCCTTAAACTGTATTTTTAACGCTGGTGTTCTATTTGACTGAGGGAAACGAACATTCCGGATTATAGTTCCGCGTAGAAAGCTTTGAGACCGAAATTTATAAAACGTGTTTATAATTCCTCTTAAGTATCACTGGTTAAAATGTTGATGAAAAAGCCATTAAAAATGACCCGCTATTTTTTTATGTCTTGCATTATAATAATAATAATTATTATTATTATTATTATTACACTGTATAAAATCATGCAACGTTTAGTTTTCAAATATATGGTCTTTACTGTTTTACTCGCTTTGACATTATACCTGAAATCGTACCGCCGAATCAACTTGACATTTTAGAACTAATCTGAATACATTTATTGGGCAGAGATTACATAGCCCTCCTGGGTCAAACACACCTTTTGCCAGAATAATGAGAGAAGTGTCATCGGAGTCTCTTGTTTGAACCCCTGTTTGCTCCGAGAAAATCTGTCCGTAATGAAAAATTCATTTCATTTGAGATTTGAACATGGCAACGTCATTCAAAAAATATTTTGCACATGTAAACCATGCCGAAAAGCAAGTATTTGATAGCGGTTCCGAATCACTCACACCTGTCCAACGTGTATCAGCGGTTTCAATTGATTTGATTTAAGTAGTACTTTCTCAGTACTTGGAATTAAATTGTGGGTGGCGTTGGAAGCACCGCAATTCAATGACCCATTCTTCCAGCAAACTAAATATTGTTATCGGGTGGTCAGCCGTCAAGGCAGTCTTCTAAGATCCTTTGAAGAGTACACGGAGGTCTTCTTCAATGACAGCACAACCCCTGGAGTGCTTCCAAATGAGCCTAAAATAACACTGATCACAGATCTGGAAGTTCCTGGACGAGTGAGCCACCGGCAGGTTGGAGCAGAGTCTTCCCTGTTCCAGTCAGTAAAAGCAACGGTGAACTGACGCTGGACCCACGTGGTGTGACAGGGGTGTGTGTGTATATATATATATATATATAAGATAATAAAAAAGAGTCCAATTTCATGAAGTGAAGATGTTCGCCGACTGGAAACATCACTCCTGAGAACTAACCACACGGGAGAGTGATTATATGATGGAAGACCTCACAAACCCCCTCAGATCAAACCTTCCTCCAAAACATTGCGCCTTTATAGTAACATGAGATGTCAACGTTCAGCGCTGAAGGGCTACACCAAGAACGTTCTTCTGATCTTCACTTCCCAGAATGCCCAGGGGCACTGTATCAAGAGGGCATGCAAGCGTGTACATACTCAACTTTCTTAGGGTTCAGTATCCCACAAAATCCATGTATCTTTCTGTAATACTGTGTCCCGTCTTGACGGTGCATGTTGAATATTTTTTGTGACATCCTCCCTTCTGAATATATTCAAAACACATATAATCCAAAAAGGGTACTTTTAAGTTATACAAAACAGATATTATTCATCTAAAAATGTGCTGATAATGACAATGCTCTGTCTAGATATATAAAAACTACAAAAAGTGTTTTTGAATTTCTGGAAAATATATATCACGTGTTACACTTCATCCACGTCATTCAGAATATTTATGTTATGATATCTCTCTAGACGGATCATAACATCATACTTCATGAATTTGCAGAATATTTAATGAAGCTTAAACTATAAGAAACCAACCAGATGCAGCTACAAATTAGGTCATTGGAAAGACTTAGAATTTAATGACAAAACCAGCGATGATCTTTGAGTTAGATCTAGCTAAATATATTGTTTCTTTTTGATAACTGTGTATAAACGTGTGATTGATTATGGTAAGTTCCACAAAGTCTATAAATAGGCAAAGTAACAAAATCTGCTACAGTGCATCTCATTTAGAAACAAAATTAAATAACCAGATTTTCTTTTCTGTCATTATTGACTTAATTATTTCCCCCTTACAATCAGTAGTGCGTCAGGCTGGTTACCTTCTGTTCATATGTAATTACTTTCCTTCTAAAAAAACAAACGAAAAGCGGGCATATTTGCCATAGTCAGAATGGGACAGACTTTACCGCCCTCCCTAGATGAGCAGTTTCTATGCTCGCTGGCAGCAAAGAATATACATTTTCATTAGGCGAAAGTTTGGACGCGATGAGTCTCTTCAATTTATTCTTAGCGAGACAAAAGAGAGAGGTTGAGGGGGTGGTAGATGGCGAGAGCAGCGCATATGTGTTTGCGAGCAAGAAAGAGCCATATTGCTACCCCTTTTCACAAAGGATTAAATAGTAGCCCTCGCCTAAAAGTGACCATATGCCGGGATGTGTACAAAAGGCTCAGAGATATAATTCGGGCACATCTAAAATGCTTCGGGTTTCTCCGAGTAAACTTCAGCCTGGAGCAGGAATAATGCTGATGCCGCTTTTATTATAAGGCTATTTAAAGTTTTTTTTTGTTTCTTCTTAAACCTGCAGCCATATGTGCAGTGTCATTATAGAGACCACTGTGCCCCTGTGTGCGCGTGAATACCACCTACTCTTTTAATGCGGCATTATTATTATTGTTATTATTATGACTTTTCTTTTTAAGTGTAGCCATCCCTCCTTCCCCTTTTCCGGCGTCCTCAGCACCCACCGCAGCGACCCGCTGAAGTGCCCGCGTATGTCACGCGAGCCGGGGCACAAAGACAGATCCATGTGCTGTAATGCGGCCCAGGGGATGGACCCCATTATCCCTGCCCACTTCACCAGCAGGGACCCGGCTCGCGCGAGCTCCCGGCCCTTTGTCTCGGACAGATGGAAAAGGGCCGGGAGGAGAGGGAGGAGAGAAGGGGGAAGAATTGAGAAGGGGGAAGAATCAGTCTGGTCTCATTAACTCTAGCATTGAAATGAACACACTTCTTGGTATACGTCAGTACCTTAACCCATTCACGCACACGCGCGCTCCCGACCATCTGCGCAAACACAGAGCCAGGGGTCAGATCATTTAGCGCGTCCCCCTGTGCGCGATCTTGGCTACGCACCTCATTAATATGCCATTATTTGTAGCTTTCACTGTCATTGTTTGTTTGTTTTTGTTATTTTTAACTTAACAGATAGATCTGATGGATCCTTTGCTTTTACGGGTTTGTGACTAAACTGTCCTTTGCCTTCAAGTCCTGTAGTATCCTGAAAGTAATCAAGCCACCTACAAAACAGTGATGTTACCCGTTGGCGTATCTCAGGTAGACAGCAGCCTGCATCTGCAAGGTGGGAGTTAAAGCGCATGCGTATGCAACTGTAAACTCTAAGTTCAACTGCTTCGAAAGACGTGAAACTAATTCTTGTGTCGCTATAGACAATTGCTTAATAAAAATTAAGTAATTCTGCTGTTTGTTTTATTTAAGGGCCTTAGCCGAAACAGTAACTAGAAAAGAAGCGCATGATTAGCATTTGCATTGATGTTTTATTTTGAGTTGTCACTTTAACTTGTACCTTCCTGACAGTAATAATAAGCGAGCATCTTCAGCGGTACATGAGGAGTGAGGACATTACGTCTGTCAGTCTTCTAAGTATCCCGATGGTATAAAACTGCAAATTAGACATTCACTTCTCCTGTCTGCACCTATCTCTGTGCACTGGAGCATAGTACACCTACGTGCACTAAAGTAACAGAAGTCTAATTAAGTTAATATAGCAATAATATTGATAAATAAGCAGCGCACCTTTTATAATTTAAGAACTATAGTAGGTCTATTAAGTTCATATCATGTATCTTGTATACGTTTATAAGTTTAAAGCAGTATCCGTTTGTTTTTCCCACTAGTTCAGACTTACTCATAGATTTTAGGAATAGACTTGCAATCAAAAACATTATTATGCTTTTCCATTGGTGTTTTGCTTGTTGTTTTTATGAAGTCGTGCTATTAGAGAAGGAAAACTCACGGACTGCCTCCAGATGCATCGATGTAGACCGGACGCAAAATCACTCAACTCAGCGCGCATTACCGTTGTGCATTTTGCATTTACACTGCGTATTAATTGTAGTGTTAAGGGCGCAACGTTTATCACAGTCA